CCTTTGTTCCATGCGGCAGAGTCACAATTTCCATGAAGCTTATTATAGTAGATAGCTTCTTGTTCATTTTTGTGGTCTTCACATCATTTCATAGTGCAACCGAAAAATGTGAAGCCATATCGTTCCCATTCTGCACCATGTAGGGTTAAGTGAGTACCTAATCGTACCCAGCCGATTCAGTATTGAGGTGGATGGATAGCGTGTAAGTCGGAATCACCTTAAACTAGCCGGATAAATGTCACTGGGGCCCAATAATTGCCGGAGCTTAAGTGTGGAACAAAGTATAGATTCCTTGAGTTTCAATTAGACTGATTATATCATGGGAGTTAATTCCCTTATAAAGCGGCACATAGCCATGACACCCTGAAATGTTTTCAAACTTAGGGACTAGCGGTTGTATAGCCTGGGTCCGTAAGTTGGCGAATCCGGACTCTAGTGAAAACAGCGAAAAGCTACTACAACGAATCACTCAACGCAATGACCCGAAAAGCCTTCATGACTGCAGCAGAAATTGATGAACAGGCGAGCACTGCTAGGTCGCATTTGCTCAAAACATAAGCTGGTCGTTTCGCTAAGCCAAACTGACTGTCTAAAGTGATGCGTAGGTGTCAAATAGTGCTCACCGGCAACACTGCGCTACCCTTTTAGCTTGTAGTGGTCTCTGCTCGTCAGGCAGAACTAGCGGAATTGTGACAAAATTGCCCAATACATCGACGAGCTACGCAAAGCCGTTGGCATAACGGCTAGTGATTTAGCATTAGTTATATTAAAAGACAGTGTTTGTGACCCATAATACAGGGAATGGTTTACTTTGAAGTGCAAATCCGCCAGTTCGGTCAGTGAGTCCGCATTTGAGGCGAATAGGTGTCCAGATATCGTCATATTGGTCCACTCTAGTTAGTTCTACTTCACAGCAAATCACAAAACAGATTTGTGATATTTATTGTTGTCCACTTAACAACAGCTGCTATAGATCAAACAATAATCATTCTTATGAATGGAAGGGTTTTGGTGAGTATTTTTGTTCGTCGCAATCAGCCGACAATTCAGCTATGTCGACCAGCTGTCCGGAAAGCACCTGACGGCCGTTTCGCCCTATTGGGGCTCATCAGTGGTGCACATCCTGCGGTCCTCTGCGACGAACAAAAGTACTCACCAAAATCCTTCCATTAATAAGTAATACCAAATCGCCCTTACGGATTCCACAAAATGCTATGTCGATTCATAGCTGCCGTAACCGGGAAGTCCTGACGCCGGAAGGCCGACCGCTGTCATCTGCATGGCAGGTGCCTGCATGGCAGTGGAGGATGCGTCGGGCTATAACGCATTTAGCTAACATTTCACGATAGTCAGATACCGTCCTCCATGGCGCAGTTGCATAAGCTGCGGGCTAGTTGGCAAGAGCCACTAGCAGTCATGGGTTCGATCCTCCGCAGAGGACCGAAGGATGCGCACCACTGATGAGCCCCAATAGGGAGAAACGGCCGTCTGGTGCTTTTCCGGACAGCTGGTCGACATATCTGAATTGTCGGTTGATTGCGACGAACAAACATAATCATTCTGTCTGTAGATGGATCATAAAAGTTCACCAGACACTGAGAGCATTTTCTGGCACTTGAGTATCTATGAAAGCCTGATCAGCATCACTATCCATTACAACTAATTGCGGTTCCGTAGCGCATGAAAGCATCGGTGAATTTATGATACCCTTCTTCCTCCTCTTCATCCTTTCTGTTCACGTGCGACGGTAATTATATAAATGCTCCCCAAGTTCTGTTTTGTTTGTATTAGTGTAAGTATTGCACGTATTGGATTTGCTCTCGTCTTCTGCCCAGAGAAACTTGCTAAGCTTTTTATTACATATACCGAATCATGGATAAGACTATAAGACTTGGCCGTATTGACACCACTTTTTCCGTACAACATACGATCACACGACTTAGTCGATTGTCCAAGCCACCTAGGTGGCTCTATCACGTCTTGGGATCGTGTCAATGAAAAATCATTAAGCTTTCGAATCCTTCGTCAATGACTGAAGCAAAGTGTTACGAAGGATACGCTTATATCAAGTACAGAGTTTGCAACCTCAAAGAACAACTGGTGTTACCAGATGCTTGAAAAAGTGCTAGGCACTGCGCAATGATGATACCAACAGGTTAGCCACGATTGATCACAAAAGCACCCGAAGCTTTGTTTATAGTTGGTGTAAATGCCGAACGAACGATCCGAAGTACATCCTGTTGCATATATTACTAAACACTCTGGTGCTACACTGGAGTATATACCAAGCGGGATAGAACGATATGCAATCATGAATAAAGAGGAATTGCGTCACTCTAATTGAGTTTTCTTAATAAGTTCACATTAGTAGCCGAATATGGTGCTTTCCCGAATTTGCTGGAAATTATGCGTCTGATCCGTTATTTCTGACTGATTTCTGTCCCACTGGCTAAGTTGAATAATTAAGTATACTTTACTTTGTTTGTACTATGAGTTTTATATGTGAGAATAACTGCGACTTTGGTGTACGCATCTTAGTCGATCAAAAGAACTCAGCTAGGTACGACCAGTTGTGGTATCAAGTATGGTATAGTGCAAAGGTGAATAACAAAGCTGAATTCTCTCTGATGCCGTCACCCTACGTCCACATCCGCTAAAGTGCAAGCATCATTGAGAATGAACTCATTAAGTTTCAAGAATTTGGTTGCACTTAATAGACTAGAAAATAATGCAAGATGGATCAACTGTTTTGGGCACATATTTTGTATGGTGGCTCATATCAAGTGATGTAAACTGCGTGATTTATGTACCAAAAATGGACAAGTATTCAGGCATCAAATGAATTGCGGCAGATCCAAATGTATCTGATGTATTGTCAATGACAATAGAAATGCTAGTATGAAAAAACAATCAAATGGTAAACAGCAGTGGTGCCGATTGTTCGTGCTCGTACTCACCAGCGAATAACAACTCGGCGGTGTTTGACGAAAGCGGTTTTCATGGCCCGTGAAGATGCCCAACTTGCTTATATCGGGTAATTACAAAGGAATCGGTTTGCTTCTGTAAAAAGGTGACATGATTTGCCACCTTTCATGGACTGGCAAACTACAGCTGTAAAGGAGTGCTGCGCTTAAGAACCCCAAAATTAAATCAAACAGCTGAGCTAATAAGCGTGATATATTTTGAAATATGCTGTATGTAACATGCAGAAGTGTGCCAATGACTCATGCAAACGATAGTGATCAATTTATCCGCCTAGGACGGAGTCATTATAACGGGCAGAAAGCCGTCATTGAGCTACGTCTAGAAGATGACCTCGAATTGTTTTAAACATGTTGTATCCAAAGCCCGTGGTATATTTAAAAAATATAAGCGCTATACAGGAACAACTCTGGTGTTTGCGCTCTGCTGCCTTCATCAGATAGCGCTTGGGAAAAACTCAAACAACGAACGCTCACAAAATCTTCAGTGCTGTGAACCAATGGAGATATAAGTCAAAGTATTTAAGTATGTTAGCTTAAAGCCGGACAATAGATGGGTAAACAAGCTGCTAGAAGGTTACTTTTGGAATGGAGAGTAGCAAGACGCACCTGTGCAGCGGATTGCCTCAGATTTCAATAGATAGACCTAGTGTGCCGTTGGGCATGTGGGGAGGTGCAGAAGATTACAAGAAAACAGTCAAGGACACTCCGAAAATAGTGAGTCCGAAAAAGTGAAACGATGAACAGGATGAATACACAAACACATAGGTATAGAATCATGCTGCAGATGCGGTAGAAACGCACACGAACATACACACATCAATTACCTAAAACCCGCTGACTTGCCACCGAGTGAAAGTGAGAGCGTTGGCCAATAAAATGTCATGGGTATTACGAAGCTCCGATGTACTTGCCTACGAAATGCTCCTTCACTTAACGCTTATATCCTCAGCAATACTGCTCCGTCTATCCTCCTCACCATGTTGTCTGCAGCGTTCTCTACTCTAATACAGAGGAAAATAACAGCTCACACAGACACGTTTTCCTATAACCCGTTTTTCATAACTGCCACCAAGTTTATCGCGCTGGTGTCTAACAGTGTCGAAGTGCCTAGAAGAAAGTGGTACTCCAAGAGCAGCTCCGCAAGATGCAACTAGATTAAAGCAAGTTAATTATATCCACCTTATCCTAACCTACCAATATATCTACGCAACAAATCTGGGTTTACTCTAAACAAGTTTGCTCTTTTCAAGCCAACTATTCCTGTTTAAAACTGTGAACTTGGTCCATTGACCAACGGCCCTGTGGTAGTTCCTTGCTATTCGGTAACGACGGTATATCCACTTCTAGAAGTTTGCTCGGTTACTTATGTTTCCATTGAGATTGTACTGCATATATGTATACCTATATATATACATATTAATATATATATATATTCGTTGAGCAAGATCTTCCAAAACACCTGGGCTTTACGAGTAGCTTAATTTTTGATGCCAGTCAAGTCATAGTTTCACTCCGTACAATTGGACATCATCGGTTGGACGGTATGGTGAACCCAGTTTACTGACACCGTGTAGGTTTTGGGTGTTTCGTCCTGATTTGTGCAGTTTTGGAAGCGGGAATAAATGTGCTTTTCATGATATCTTCTTGTGGTTTCCTATAGCTGTTTCACTTGATTAGTTTGGATGGAAAATAATCTCTCATACTTCAGTACTTTGGAAAAGTCAGCGTCCGCAGTAAGTATAATCAAGCGCTACAACTCAGGTAGGTGAAACTGACTCACTCACGCTGTTGTGATTCTGATGGAAACCAGCTCCCTAAGCGAAACACAGCAACAATACTCAACGTTACTTTGGCACTGTTTCCATTTTCTAAAAAGGGTTACCAGTAACCTAGCTTGTCTTGATATGGGGACTTAGAATCAGTTAGACAAAAAGTGAACCGGCTACATTTGCTTCTCCATGTCAACAAACTCAGATCGTCGGTTTGTTTACCACCTTGCCTTGTTTTTCTTTACAGCAATTGTCATTACTGGACCGAAAATTGTCTTCTATGGCACCACCCTTGAACTAGTGTGCAGGGCTACCTTCCCTACAGACGAGGCGAAATTAAATCCACAAATAACACTGGAATGGTACCACCGTGGGGTGAGGCGTCGACCAAGCCTGTCGCGATCTGGTGGTGTGTACATCACAGAACGTTGGTTGGACTCCCATTTGCTCGAGAGTCGCTTACTCGTTGCATGGGCTAGCGAGGCAGATGCAGGTCAATGGATATGTTTAGACAGGTCAAACATGCACCCCAAACATGATGGGCTTCTTCTTACTGCTCAGCAAACACGTAAACAACACACCGGTTTATCTGGAGAAATCAACTTAACACCAATGCACAGTCTACCTCAACCTATTCCCGTGGAAGATACGAGTGACCACGGCATACACAATCAGTTGGCTTTCGACCGGATAGAGGTAGAGATTATTGGTGAGTTAAAATCCTAAAGTATTACCATTTGTGAAAATCGAAGCCAAATTCATCGTAGGGTTGTTTACGGATGCCTAGTAATCCAGCCATTTGCACATGGATCTAAAAGTAACCAGAACACTGCAGTGAAAACCTATTCACTTTTTGAAAGTTGGCTACCGCCGCCGCTGTCATAGGACATGCAGCATTGGTTTCAAGAATTCGTGTAAGGACAGCCTAGCTGACAATCTATTTTCCAATATGCAGTAAAATCGGATCTATCAAGGTCAACAAGTTTACCTACAAATGTTAAATGTTGAAAGCGAGCTTGTACGGGACTCTCATATAATTGAACTATCGTTGCACCACGTTCACAAAGAAGGACCTCATATTTGTGCGTAAAGAGGTTGAGTTTGCTGCTATTGACTTAATTAAACAAGGCCGGTAGAGCGCTCACTTAAATGTAAAAACCTTGTTGATACCTTAGTGGAATCGAGTAGACTGACCGTCATTTATGATGGGACCAACTATAGGGTATATGTTTCTTTCTTTTCTATGGTTCGTTTCGGTAATCAGCTCCTTTCATTCCAATTAATCACTCCATACCATTTGAGGTTCTTATGACGGGACCAATCATATATCTTAACGTGTGCTAAATTCGGATGTAACCAAGAGTTTGTAAACCGATATGGTAAGCAAGCGTTTGCGTTATTCCTAAGATGGGAGATAAAATCTAGAAGATGGCTGAGCTTTAAAACTGAATTGCACGTATGTCTAAGAAGAAGGTGTCCCGCCTTTGCAATAGGATAGAGCTACATGGAGATAGCAAGATTAGAAACTGCATGAAGTTAAGCGCGACTTCAGTTTGTTTAAATCAGGATGCTGCGACGATCTTGTGGATAGTCAGAATCAAAGAGGTGTATTATTAAACCTGCTTACACAAAATAAAATAAAATAGGCACGATAAACCTGCAATAACTAGTGTTTGTTTCGCTTCAGTCATGTATGTGATTTTAACCTTCGTACTGATTTTTGGAAAACTTTGCAATATCTTTGTGGTGATACCCTAGTCTTATACCGATATGTATCATTATGGTAGACTACGTAACTCACTTCCTTATGCTCTGTTGTCTGATATACACAAAAGGTTGTAGCCTTTACGATGCATTGACCAACTGTTCCAGAGGCAAACTTTGTCCGTACAAAATTGTTGGCCACTACTGTTGTGTTAAAAGTTTCTATCCCGGTTTCGTTCATGTTGTTCTCAGTAACTGCAAAGAAGTTTTCCTTCACTTTGTAGCATTTTGCGAATGAAATAGGGTAGTCGATTTGAACAAACATTTTCGTAAGCGCATACATTTGCGTGATGGTGCTAGATAATTTGCTTGCCTGTCCCCATGGAATGAGCAAAGAAGAAGCTCTTTTTTCAATTGGCTGCGCATAACAGGAAAACTTTTAGCGTGCTTCGTTGCTGTAAATTTTCAAATAATTCTGCGCTTTGAGTGCTTATTCTCACATCTAAAAATAAAATGGTCCTTGAAATTACTCTTATCTTGATGGGGAAGGTAGGGAATGTAAAAATCATGCCAAATGATTTCAACACTTTGCCCTGCATAGCCGGTGGAGACAAAATTTAATGTACGTAACGTTTACGCAGAATCATGTATTGCCCATTGTTACGGTGGTTTCATACTTTTCTTCAATACTAGGCATAAGTAGATGAGGAAAGATAGTGCATTCATATTTATTCTATCCCACTTTGATATATTTTATCACGAAAACTACAACTTGGGTAGCTGGATGTCGTTTAATAATTAGTTCCCTCCACCTAACAGTGATTCTTGTTTTCCTAGTAATGAATTATCTCATCCCCGATTACAATAATCAGAAATATATCCTAAGAGAACTGACATCCTTGCAGTGAGCACGATGTTGTTTCGTACACAGACATCCTATGACTATTTCATGAGCCGATCATTATTATCCGGACATGCATGTCTTTGTGGCTGTGCGCATTCTCATTACACTCTACTGAACGTACAGATCAGAAACAGCAGGATTACATTCTATTTAGTCAAACTAACAAATCCAAAGTTCAACGCAACCTAGGGTTCAAATAGCCAGGGGACTTTCGAACGCAATTGTTGATGTATCAGGTGCTGTTCGCATGGTTGTCTGCCTACTAGCCGCTCACTAGCCGGTTAGTGTTAAAGGTCGGATGAATCCTATTAGGTACGCCACAGTGTTTTACAAGAGATTGCAATCAGTTTGTGAACGATTTTCACCAATGGAGTAGGTACCTACTTGTTGCCCATTTCCACTTTGAATGGCTCTTTCTATCCTTAACCGTTTTCCCTTCTGGCAGAGAATTTGCTTGGTGATCAAATACAAGACTTAAAGTAAGCAAAAGGTATAGATCTGTTTGAGTTGGTGAAACCTGCTATACACACGATACCGGTTAGCCTAATAAATGGTACTGCACGCTTTGGTATATGCTTCGCACCAGAATAGAGAGATTGGCCAGATTCATCAATAGCTCATAATAAAAGCCTGCGACTGGTTGTTTAGTTAGTAACAGTATCGCGTATGACTGACACATCACTCAAGCGCTCACTGTAATTAATTTCTAGAGTCGTGTGGCTTATCAGGGTTCCATCAAGTAAATGGGAGGATCGCATCCAGTTGGCCAAGGAAGTTCCTTAAAACCAGTGATATAACCAATATTATTTGGTTTATCTGGGACATGGACTGTATGCGTTGATAATGTCAAACACTGATTGTACAAAAACACTAATACCTGCAAGTTAATCGTGTGGTTGGTCATGTGGTGCGCGATAGTACACAACCAGATGCCTCATTGGAGTACCTGTTTAACCCGACTAGTCTCCATTGACTAGAACACATGCTCCAAGTTTCTGTAAACCGGGTGCATCCATCTGGTTTAGTTATCAGTAATGAGCTTAACTGCATAAACATTTAAGAAGGACAATCTATGACATAGCAAAACAGTATGAGGAAACGCATCAGTCGGTTTAACGGAGCCAGTGTATTTCGCCTGCATTTGATTCTCACTATGGGCCAAGTCACTAGTTAGCGGCACTATTTTCTGCCGCAGCGTCGCAGTCAGCAGCATTCTTGCATACAAACCATCGTTTCTTGCTCTTATTTGTTTCATCGGAATGCAATTAACTGAAGGTCCTTCCTTTATTACTATCAATGCTTCCACCGCTATAAGATCATTGCAACCCTACGGACTACAAAATACATGCATGTTTATAAAAGACGGAGGCTAGATGAACCAGCCCTTTGGATATTGATTCGATGTTTAACCATTTTCCAATCCACCACCAAGCTGGGTGTATATGTGTAGTGTATGAAAATTTCGGATGTTCGCTACCGATACTCGTCAAATGATTATGGAAGGCACCGCTGCTTTGCACCGAAAGTGTCGCATTTCATTTCCAAAACATGTCGAAACTTCGCGGTTTTAAGGAGGCCTTGCTGATGGTATACTCAGCTATCTCAAAAGAAAAAGCTCAAGTGTAATTCTTTGAACGCTGTGTGTGAATTCATGAGGTTTCCTTCATCAGGACAGCATACAGTGCATTTGGTGCCACTCAACTCCTGTGTTTACCGAGCTGAAGTCTCCTTGCTAACTTTAGCAGCTAAACTGACTTTTATATTTTCGCAATGGCCTTAGAAGAAATGGCTAGACTAAAAGCTCCGCCTGCTGAAAGTAACGTGGTCTGTCAGTATCTGCAATTCAGTAGTCTTACCTATATAGAGTACAAGCTGACGTTTTTCAAGAATTTAGTCTTGTCATCAGTACATATTAAAAGACTTGTCAATTCGACAAACTGCAGCTGTATTACAGTGTACTGCCTGCAAATATTTTTGTACAGATTAATAGAGAAGCATAGAGTATCGTACTAAGAGAACCAGAGATCAACGTCCATAAGAAAACTTAATTGTTCTAACATCTGGCAATTAGGTTGAAATAGCGATAATAAGGTCTACAAGGCGTATGACCTCTATACTAATGATCAGTTTCTCTTATGCCGAAGTTCTCTTTATTGGCCCAACCCAAAATTTGCCCCTGTATCCACTATAGGAAACAGGGTATAGAGCCAAGTTCTATCCATTTTACCAAGTGGTACATAATTACTTACTTGGTTACATAAGCGCAGCTGATAGGTTCAAATGTTTCCGAATGAAGGATTACATGCTGGACTGTAAGTCAAGCATGCCCATCCCAGATTACGCATACACGCAGCCAGTCAGCATCTTTGAATTGTACACGCTTATTTGACTCAGCTCAGTGGTTTGAAGACAACAAAGCGTTCAGTTTTCTGATGGATTTCGCTAACTTCCAGCTCCTGAGCATCACCAAAGCTTTTGCGACAAGCTGGATTAAACAAGTGCTTTGCTTTCAAAACCAACCTCAAGTTGCTCTGAACGCAGAGACAAGACGCCCGGCTTACCTTTAGTCTGTTTGGGCACCCACCGACAGCTGCATATAACTGTAATATCCTCAGCGAAATGAACAGACGAAATAAAATGCATACATTTACCAAAGCTCGTTTGCTTTGTGTACATTTCCCATCCCTGAGGAGAAGTAGTTGTTCCTAATCGCTTTATATAAAGTAAAAACGATAAGTCCGAAGACCAGTAACGAAACAACGATAGGTAATATAACTACAAGTAGTTGGCGTCCTTCATCTGAGCTCACCTGCCCTAGCATTGCTTCCGGTTTTCTAGTCCTCTGCACATTCAAAACATGGAAGACATTGGAGGATGAGCCGCGCTATATCGAAGTTAGCTATCAGTCATGGCGGTCTGCTGCCGTCGCCCCTGGCTGAGTGGCATACGTCACTGACTCGCAAGAGTAAGGGCGTAGTTTCCAATCCGGCAGGATTCAGTGGGTGGGCGGGCCTGACGAGTCCCAATGGGACGAAACGGCCGTCTAGCGCTTTCGTGGATGGGTGGTGGTTGTCTGCTTGTGTCTAACCATGAAAAACCTA